TTTTTTGGGTTTTTTTTCCCCCTTTTTTGTTTTTTTTTTTTTTTTTTTTTTTTTTTCCCCCCCCCCCCCCCCCCCCCCCCTCTCTCTCACGCACCTGCTTTGGCGCGACGGCAGGAGGCAGCCTGAGGCCGAAGTCATCGGAGTGTGTCATCACCATCGCACCCATCAAACGCGTTGTCACCCCCCAAGAAGTCGCCCAAACCAGCTCTCGCTCTGCGGGAAGAGACAAGGAAAACGATCCAAACACACACAAAAAAAAAAAAATCGATGAACGCCGCAAGAAGTATGTAACATACAGCAGTATGGTACGTGAATAGTTATGGGAACGATCAAGACATTCATCACGAGAGTGTATTGGCCAATGTACACACGCACACAAGAGGATAAAAGACAAGAAAAAACAACCAGGAGAGATATAGAGCCAATCCCCAAATCAGTTCGCGCACATACCACCACCTCACGCAACCCCTCCCGCTCTTGCGGAACTATTTCAGAGACGGATCGCACTCAGAGGCAAAGAACGCTGCAATCTTGATTCAATCCACAAAGACCTCAGGGAGGAACTTTCACCGGCATACCACCCATGCGCTCAGCCCCACCCGCATTGCTCGCCTGCTTTGGCCGCAACTGTCGAAAACCCAAAATACAAGAACAAATGTGCACCAGAGGAGGGTGCACGTTGTCCATTCTCTCGCAAGCGCAGTGTCTGCCGCAGGTTGCATAACGTAATATACCACACCCCCTGGACCGAACTGCAAACCTCTAATTTTCCACGACCAAGAGGATGCCGAAATCAAACGATAGATTTAGATTTTCCGAAAGCTCTCGGAAGAGACAGCAATTCCAACGCCGTCATTTCCGGCACACCGTTGCTGTTTTTTTCCTGCCGAGTACTCGTTGCTCTGAAAATACGTAGGTCCAGGGGGTGTACTCATGTGCACACATGCCGTAGTCGTTAGACCATTGACCTTGCATCCCTAAAATGTCGGTCAGGCTACGCTTCACAAGGATGAAGCAGAAGCTGGTCACCATCCTTGTGTTTGCTGTGCCACCCAGGCATCGGTCCAGGGGATGTGTTATCTTACGCAATATCACTTTCGGTCCAGGGGGGGGGGGCGTACTCATTTGTTGCTTGCCGTAGTCATTTGACCATTGACCACGCGTCCCTTTCGAGACGGAGCACCGTTCCTACACCTACTCGAGACACCACCAACATTTTGGGAGCTCTTTACGTTTCTGCCACAAACTCCATAAAAATTTCTTGCACATCTTATCCCCGTCCTCTAGGGCCTCTTGTGCCCACCATCTATCCTCAATTATCGCGATCGTTTTTTCGCTGTTGTCTAATTTACCAAACTTGTCCATGTCACACCCTCTCTGTCTCATTTCCTCCTCGAGATCCTCTCTTTCCTTCCTGTACAACTCACACTCCCCAACTATGTGGGGTCTACTCTCCTCCGATTTGCCACATGGACATGTGTGTCTATCCTCCTCTTCCTCTCTCCTACGGCTGGTATACCTCTTCCTCCGTTCTGGCAAGTCCAGATCGCCTACTCGAAATTGCAATTTAAGCTTTTTCGCATAGTCCATGGGTCCAGGGGGGGGTCCAGGGGGGGGGGCGTATTATCTTACTAAATAACCTACGGGTACTCACTCTCGTCGGGGGTCTGGTAGTAGACCTCGAAGGCTCTCGCGAAGTTCTGGCCGAGGAAGTGGCTCGTCCCGCTCTGCAACGCCCAGCCGTTCTGCATCAGGGCTTCGATCGTGTAGGTCTCGTCTGCTCCCGCGAACCTGGTGAGAGAGGGGGGGGCAGGCAGACAAGAAAATAACGGTTGTCTATCGGAGGAGGAGGAAGGAGGTATCCTCACGTAAGCACGGGGCACTAACCACCCGCGGGAGGGCGTAGGAAAAGGGGGGAGGAGAAAAGCAAAGAAAAACGTTTAACCCGTGCAAGATGCTACAGCGCTTGATCTTACAATATTGCACTCCTGTTGGGTGCTACACTGGGAAATTCAGCTTTACTCCTCGGCTATCGGGTGGCAGTACCGCCTACGGTTCCGGAAACAAGTTCTTGCTCTGGCTCAGTCGCCTCCCTCGTTTCTAAGGGGGAGGGAGGCCAACTATGTAATACGGGGAAGTTTTGTCACGATTTCCGTAGCGAAACTACCCCCCAACAGATCGGCCATCGCTACAGTGTAGGCTTCGACCTGTTCACGTAGAAAACATCTCTCGTTCCGCCAGATAATATTTACCATTTTTCGCACAACAACAACAACAAGTCATCCATCACATTTTTCCCCGGCGGTTATGTTCCAGCAAGAACTGTAGGCACCTCCTGCCCGTCCGCCAAAGAAAAAAGACGATAATCGAGATCGCGCCAACTACTACGGCGGTTATCCGCTTGAGATCGGACGTCAGTCCCCACGTCCCCACCTCTCCTTGGGTGACTTGACCCCCATGACCGTCGGTAGCGCCAAGGTCTCCCGGCATGCCGTCGAGTACTCGACCAGCATCTCTTGAGCGCAGGACTGGCCATCGCGAGGCACAAAAAAATAAAAAAAGGCAGGGAGATGGAGGAAGGGGAGGGATTAAAAGTCGACCGCTGCCGTCAAAAAAACGCGAGCAAGTAACTGGCCAAATCAAGAGCGATCCACCGCAATCCAGAGAGCCAATCAACAGCGTGGACGATGTGTGGACACATGGGAACCGACGAAGCCAAAACTAACACGAGAAACGGAATTCACGAGGTAAAAAAACACCAATAACATCGCACGCAGAGGTACAGGCCAAGCAGCAGCCGGAAGCTCCAACGGCCCGGGTGGCAAGACACACACATACAACCGCATGCCCCAACGCTTGCAATCCCACGCAAACCCCACGACACTAAAACACACATGTTATGCTTCCTCTGCCCCCCCCCCTCCCCCCAACCTCAACAACACACAAAAAAAAAAAGTGACATATCGAAGAATCCAAGACAAATATAGGTGGACCACGAAAATTCCCCCGTGGTCCGCAGGTCGGTGGAAGAGTTCAACCGCCAGTACGCATGCTATGGTTCGTATGTGTCCTCCTGCCAGTCTTAGAGAGGCTTTAAAACAAGAAAAGTCGTTGTTGTTGTCGTTGTTGTCGCTGCTGCTGTCGAATGGGCGGAGATTTTTCATACCTCCCTCCTCCGCCTCCTCCATGAAACGGGCAGCCCGACCAACTTACTCTTGAACTCACGGGTACGAAAATATAACGACGGCGACATTACCGAGGCCCCGTCTCCCGCTCGGTGACGTGTGCCCCTGCTGCTTCGGGAACCAAGCTTTACTTGTGGTTGCCCCGCCTCGGGCACTTAGCCGACCGTTACAAGTAGGCTTAATTCCGCATATGAGACAATCCGAAGCAGGCTTCGGCCCCGAGGTGGGACAACCACAAAGGTAGGCTTAGTTGCTCGTACAAAAAACGTCCCTGTTCAAGGCGCCTACATGGTCCAAGGTCAAACACTGGCCATACATTCAAACTATGAGACAAGTTGAATATTCCGTTTGTGCCAATTACACGATTTACACCGGCCTTACACCGGGCAACCGGCCTTGAATAAGCGGCCTTAAACAGAGACTTCTACCGCATGAGACAATCCGAAGCAGGTGTAGGCCCCAAGGCGGGACATCCATAAAAGTAGGCTTAGTTCAGCGCACCAGGCCATAACGAGCAGGCTTAGACCCCGAGGCGGGACAACCATAAAAGTAGACTTGGTTCCACGTACGAATCTATCTATCCGAAGCAGGCTTAGCACACGAGGCGG